AGTAAAAATCATAAATTGTAAAAGATTATTATTACAGAAAGGTTACTAAATGAATAAGATTTGTTAGATCATAATTAATAAACCCAAATAAAGTTAATATTTTTTGTATTAGAAACAACGAGTGGAAAATATATTCAAATAAGAATTCTAATTATGAATCACCACAAGCAAAATATGCATTTTTTTTACTGTATTCAATAAGTAAAAATCATAAATTGTAAAACTAAAAGATTACAGAAAGGCTACCTACATTTTTCAACCGATTTCAACAAAACTTTGTGTTTGACCAATTCGTAAAAAAAAAAAAAAAAAAATTAAGACATTTATTTGTCCGTCAACCTTAAAAACAATAATCTTTGTCAATTTTATTTTCAAATTTTATGATGGTGGATACTTGATCTATCTCTTACTGTTATAAAACAAAGTTTTGTTTCTACTTTAGTTTATTATATTGGAAAAAAAAAACGATCCAATGAGATGGTGCTGTTATTTTCATTTTCCGTTGTTCATTATAATTCTTCTCAATAAAATTTCTGCAGTTGCTTTGTTTTCGACGTCCCCAATTTGTAACCAGCACCTTCAGTTGCCCTTTTTGCTAACAACCATACACTGTCTTACAAGTGGATAGTTACTGTTTTCATCTCACTTTCTTTTACTATCATGTCTTTCAATTGCTGCAGTTTTCTTCGTCTCTTGGTAGAGTTGTTCTGGAGCCTGTTGTTTAGACGTCACTTTAGGTCTTGTTCATTTAATTTTGTCTCGAAATCTCCTTGGAAAAGCCTTCCATTTTAACACTCCAGATTATGCTACACACAGAGGAATTCTTCACAGTTCATTTTGATAATTAATTAATGAGCCATGAATAAAGAATGCACCATGCAGCTTAAAAGATTATAAATCGATACTTAAAGCTTTCTGTTCTAACTGATGTGTCCGTTCAGAACGTAGGCGATCATGGCTCTCCAAAATTTCCTCTCCTTTGTAGCTCTTAATAAATTTTGTCTTTTTCTTATTATCTCTTAAACCTCATCCCACTGTCCCAATTTACACAAGTTCGTCCTTTTTTTATGTACTGGGATCCTTCAGGATGTAGGCGATCATGGCTCTTCAATTTCCTCTCCTTTTTAGCTCTTTAAATTTTGTCTTTTGTTATCTCTCTTAAACCTCATTCCACCAGCCATTTACACAAGTTTCTCCTTCTTCTTCTATGTACTGGGTCCCTCCAGGATGTTGGTGATCATGGCTCTCCACAATTTCCTCTCCTTTGTAGCTCTTAATGAATTTTGTCGTTTTGTTATCTCTCTTAAACCTCATTCCACCAGCCATTTACACAAGTTTGTCCTTCTTCTTCTATGTACTGGGTTGGTCCCTCCAGGATGTTGGTGATCATGGCTCTCCACAATTTCCTCTCCTTTGTAGCTCTTAATGAATTTTGTCGTTTTGTTATCTCTTAAACCTCATTCCACCAGCCATTTACACAAGTTTGTCCTTCTTCTTCTATGTACGGGGTCCTTCAGGATGTATTAATCATAATCTCCACAATTTCTCTCCTTTGTAGCTCTTAGTAAATTTTGTCTTTTTTGTTATCTCTCTTAAACCTCATTCCACCGTCCATTTACACAAGTTCCTCCTTCTTCTTCTATGTACTGGGTCCCTTCAGGATGTTGGTGATCATGGCTCTCCACAATTTCCTCTCCTTTGTAGCTCTTAGTAAATTTTGTTTTTTTTGTTAATGAAGAAAAAAAACATCATTCCACCAGCCATTTACACAAGTTCGTTCTTCTTCTTCTATGTACGGGGTCCCTTCAGGATGTAGGCGATCATGGCTCTCCACAATTTCCTGTCCTTTGTAGCTCTTAACAAATGTTGTCTTTTTGTTATCTCTTGTAAACATTGCTCCACTATCCATTTACACATGCTCGTTAGGTAGATTATGCATTGTTTCTGTTATGGCAATTTACCCACGCACAAATGGACTGTCCCAACTATAAATAAGAGCAGGTACTGCCTTTTGGGAGAAGGAAGTTTCCAGCAATCTGCTTTGACAGTCGGACCGAACATTCTTGCTGTAAACCTCTCGTTCGTATGTTTGTATTACTGTTTCTGTTAATATATTTGTTTAAATCAATTCCTCTCTTGTGTCTTTATTTCTGGCCCTAACAAGGCCACAAAAGTTTTCTTTTATACCTCGCCTGCAATCTGTCCTGTGAGTGTCAAATTTTCCAAGCTCTCATTCCTCATTATGCGCATCAGCTATCTCTTTCTGATGTTATAAGTGTCCTTTTTGTTTCCATTTTCTTTAACGCTTTATCACTGCTTACATTGTACAGTCGATGGGATTCTCAGCATCCTTCTGTAGAATCACATTTCTGTTGCTTCTGTGAGGAGATTTCCCAGTATTCCCTGCCGTATAGGAGGATCAATATTACATAACAACAGTTCAGTACTATCCCTGCTTCTTAATACTTTAGTACCAGTCATGCTGATGGGAATTCCTGCGAAACAAAGCTAGTAGTATTTCATCACCACCGAACCGACCCTAAACCTGCTCCAGTCCTCATGAGCTGCCATGCCCCAACGAGGATAATTACCTTGACCAGTCGAAAGCTGATTCTAAAGTGTAAGCTAGGGCTAGGCAGCTCCTGTCTATATATGGCAGCAGTACACCATTTTACATCTGGCTCTTGTAAGGGTAGAGCATAGCAGGATGAGTCGGGTACTTGCTGGAGCGGTTCTGGGAACCAACCATTTTCCCAACTTCTTTAGCGATGGATCGTATATATGAGTTCCACTGAGTTCAAATCCCAATTGGCGCTGAAGTCATGTTATCTCCCTTAGGGAACATCCATTCATAGGGATTAATGATAGTTCAGAGCCCGAACGGTGATAATAAAATGTAATTCGATGCATTGAATGTAACCAGCCAGTTTTATTTTTCCTTCCATCAAGATCCTACATCTAAGATCGAAGGAGAGATCTGCTATCAATCTCTGATCATCGAGAGTAGAGACAAGATTTGTAACATTTCGGTAAATTTCTTCTTCTAAAATAACAGTTCATTACTCTCCATGCTTCTTGATACTTTATCAGATCTAGAAAAAAGAAAGAAAAGAAAAGATGGAGCCCATTTCAGTCAAAGCATACGCTGTTGACTCCGACGCACCATTTCTGCCAATGTTTAAACAATGCAATTTATGTTCCTGTTCCAAAACACAGAATTTTCTGAATTTCTTTAGCAGCTTTCTAGTTATTAAAAACATTTATTGATCGGGAAGCTGTCGAACTGCTTTGGGACATGATAGCCAGTCAAAGAGAAGGTCTAAAGAATACAATGGTTCAGACAAAACCTCGATTTCCAGTCTGTTCGATAGACAGAGTTTCATTGTGGTAGTAGAGAGATAAAATTTGTAACATTTTGGTAGATTTTTTAAATCAGTTAATTTTGTTATTTAATGATAAATTAGATTGTCGAGGAATTAATGTCGAATTGAAACTGCGGAAAACTGAAATAAAAAAAATAAAAAATGTCTTGAAAAATGGTTTTAATCGAAACATGCACCGCTGACTACAATACATTTCTGCGAATGTATAACAATACAGTTTATAGCCTGGCACCAAATGTCAGAATTTCTCTGGTCAATGGAATTCCTGAAGGCTTCATGGGCAGCTGTCTTGCCATGAAAGCGTGTATTATTGAAGACATTGTCGAAACGCTTGAAGACATGATAATCAGTCATGGAATGGTCAGAAGAATACAAGACAGAACGTCGAGTTCCTTTCTATTCAAAATACGGAATTTCGTTGTTGCAGAAGAGAGACAGAATTTGTCAAATTTCGATAATTTTTTTTTTCTTTCGACATTAAAAGTACAAAGGCAAACATCTTAAATCAGTCAATTCTTCTTTATAACGATAAAGTGACCAAAAATAAATTTCCTATTCGAACAAGGAAAAATACAAAGGTAAAAAAAAAATTTTAAAAACTGTTTCAGTGAAATAAATCTGGTTAGGAAACGTATCTCTTAGTGTCCTCTAAACTTTTGAGGTCTGGTGACAAAAAACCGGATATTGATGATTTAAAATCTTTAAAACTGTTTCAGTTAAATAAATCTGGCCAGAAAACTTATCCCTTAGTGTTCACTAACCATGTTCTCTATCCGGATACAAGCTGTTTGTTCCCAGTAGAGATTGGTCGAATATCTTTCTCCTGTAAATCAAGTTTTTGTAATATTTCGAATAGATCTTCGGGTTGTACATCTTATCAAATGCATGTGTGTAATCTATGAAACATAGGGATTATTCTTTTTGTGTTTGTATTTCTGACTGCACACTGATCATAAAGATACAGGCTGTTTGTTCCCAGTAGAGATTACGGATTGTCCGAATATCTTTCCTGTGTAAATCAAGCTTTTCTAATATTTCAAGTAGCTCTTTGTGTTGTAACCTTTATCGAACGCTTATCGCCACATCATGTTGAAACACAGGTTCCCGTACGATCACCGAAGTTAAGCAACGTCGAGCTTAGTCAGTATCTAGATGGGTGACCGCTTGGAAATACCAAGCATGGTGGTGTAAAGGATAATGGCTCGGAACTGTTAATCGGAGAGCCGAGTTCCAATTTCCTTGAGGTTCGTTATATTCACTGGCGAGCAAATACACTTGGGAAAGGCATGAATTCGTCTTCTTCCTCCAGCTATGGGTTAATTAGTAAGACTTCTATCATTAAATCATCATTATCTAAAAAAAAAAAACAATTACAATCGTGAAATTTTGAGGTAACCCCCCCCAAAAAAACGGATATTGCTGATTAAAAATCTTTGAAACTGTCTCATTTAAATAAAAATCGGGTGAGAAAACGTATCCCTTAGTGTTCCTTCAACACGTTCTCTATCTGAATACAGGCTGTTTGTTCCCAGTAGTGATTGTGGAGTGTCTGAATATCTTTCCTGTGTAAATCAAGCTTTTCTAATATTTCAAGTAGCTCTTTGTGTTGCACCTCTTTACGGCCATATCATGTTGAAACATCGGCTCACGTACGATCACTGAAGTTAAGCAACATCGAGCTTGGTCAGTTTCTAGATCGGTAACCATTTGGGAATACCAAGCCTGGTGGTGTAATGGAGAGCCTCGTTCCAATTCTCTTGGGGTTCGTTATATTCACTTGTGAGCAAATATACTTCAGAAAGGCATGAATCCACCTCTTCCCCCAGCTATGGGTTAATTAGTAAGACTTGTACCTCTAAATCATTATATCTTAAATAAAAAACATCCACACTCATTGGAATCCTAATAATTAGTTTAGTCATGTGGCTCGTAAAGATGATTTTCTGACAGAGTTTGCATTCGTTTGCCCTAATTTCTTTGGTATCGCTATGAAAATTGATTATCCGGTATTTCCCCGTTGTCTTTTATTTTATTTTTATCAATTCCGAAATAGTCTTTGGGATATTTATAACGCTATGATTGGGACACCCACATATAGAGGGAGGCGGGAAATGTTATCCTCATCTCAAGTGATTCATGTTTTATGACCGGCGGATGGGGTCTTTGGCGTTGGGTCTTCTAAGCGGCACACACTTGACCAAAGGGGAACGAAAGAATGAATATATGAGAGATTTTGAGGTCAGGTGACAACAAGCCGGATATTGATGACTTAAAATTTTCAAAACGGTCACAGTGAAATAGGTCTTAGTGAGAAAACTTATCCCTTAGTATTCACTAAGTACTTTCTCTATCCAGATACAGGCTGTTTGTTCCCAGTAAAGATTATGGATTGCTCGAATATTTTTCTCGTGTAAATCAAGCTTTTCTAATAGTTCAACTAGCTCTTCGGGTTGTACCTCTTATCAAATGCATGTCTGTAGTCTGTGAAACACAGGGATTATTTTTTCTGGATTTGTACTTCTCGTTCTGACAGCATACTGATACTAAAAATTGCATTTCTTGTTAGAGTGTCTTGAACAAGCGACTTTCCATTTGCCCAGTTTCTGATCTAAGTAGAATCCTAATGATTAGTTTAGTTATATGGTATTTTAAGCTGATTTTCTGGTAGAGTTGGCATTCATTCGCACTAGTTTCTTGAAGACATGATAATCAGACGGGGAGAGTTCTGGCAAATAAACAAAAACCTCGATTCTATTTCGTTCAATAGCCGGAATTTAACTGTTAAAGAACAGGGACAACTTTTCTAATATTTTTTTTATTTCCTTTCAAAATTGAAAGCGTATAGTAATAGCTTTTAATAATGATATTCAGTGATAAATTAGATTGGCCAAGAAATGAAATCGCATTGAGAATAACGAACACGGAAAATTTAAAAAAATAATTTAATCTAAAAAAAATTAAAATGTTCAGACTAAATTACAATTCTGCAGTTTAGAGGCTGGCACTAAATTTCGGGATTTCTTTGGCCAAAGGAATTCTTAAGGTTTTCCTGGCCAGCTGACTAGTCATGAAAGCGCTTACTGTTTGAAATATTGTCGAAATTCTTTCCAGTCTTTTTATGGATTTATTTTCTATTAATATATATATATTATTATTATATATATATATATATAGAAAATATATATATATATATATATATATATATATATATATATATACAGGGTGTCCATAAAGTTTCGTGTGCAGTTTTAAAAATTTATAACTTTATTTGTATTTGCGATAGAAATAATTTGTAAAAAGGATTAGAAAGAAGTAAATCTATATTTTTTAAAGTTTTATTGAAATTTTATTTATTCAACACCCAAAGGGCCCACCTGTGGTTTATACTGCAACTATGCTGATGAGACGTTAGTCACAGTTTCTGGGAGAGGGTGTGTTATCTAGCGTGATCAACAATTTGAAGAAGGCCAACACGTTCAAGCCCTCGACCACGATGACTTGTGTCTTCGTGCTAGCACAGCTATCGACAGCACCCAAGGGTTCCGTCTACCCAATTTCACTCACAATGCGGTCAACCCGTGGTATTGTTTTCAGACACTTTCCAGTCAGATAACATCAGGAAGTTTCCTTCCTGACAAATCGACCAAGACGAGAGACGAACCTGAGTCTCATAGTCAGAATGCTAACGCTCTAATATATATATATATATATATATATATGTGTGTGTGTGTGTGTGTGTTTGTGTGAACATTTAAGTCAACTCTCAGAGGTGACAGGCTGTTTCATGCTAGACGCAGTCGCCAGGCCGCTATACTTCTATATATTCTATGCTTCTTCATATATATATATATATATATATATATATATATATATATATATATATATATATATGAGTTAGCATCAAATATAGATAAAATATAGATCGGAATCCGATAGGATGATAAGATAAACTACAAATAGGAAACGTTTATCAAATAGGAAACTGCTGTCCAAATTCCAGCCATCGTGAAAAGAAGAATGAATTAAAAAAATTGTGAGAAAGCAGACGTTTATCTGTACATCGAAATCGGCTGCAGATTAATTTTTCTTCAATTTTTCTTTCTTTTAACGATAACAATATGTTTTTGCAACTAAATATTTTTCAATAAATTGCGTTATTTTATTTGATACTTATAGGTAAATTTTACTTACGAAAATCTACGTAATTATGCCATCAACACTTCAGACATTTTCTAAATAGTCACGTGTTTATTGTAATGTCTGATTCTGATCCAAAATTTGAATGACTACACTTAGTAAAAAAAAACTTTAGTTCAATAACAGGGAGGTCAGGGACAAATGGCATTAAGTTTAAGGCGAATAAGCGACATGGAAGTCTGTAATAAAATGGCAACAGAAAGACGATTTACAACCAGAAACGGGAAAAGAGAAATGAAATTACTTCGATGTATAACGGGAAAGGAGGGTTTGTAAAACATCACCCTCACGCGGAATATTGAGGGCAATAGATATAGAAGAGAACAAGCCGCTTACCTGACGAGCTTGTGTGAATAGATCACAGAATGTTTGACAGGAAGCTTGGCAAAGTGAGAGACACTTCTAAGGGTTACGGGAAATAGAAAGTTCTAGAGAGCCATGATTGCTAAAATCTTGAAAGGTTGCAGCACATAGGAGAAGAAGAACCTAATTAATCCGGTTTTCGCACAGTAAGACAAGCTCCTGATGATAAGAGGCTCAAGCTCACTTTTCCCTGAAAGTTTATTTTTTGTTTCTGATCCCCTTCTTTATACTTTCCAATAAAAAGAATAAATTTCTCTCTCTCTCTCTCTCTCTCTCTCTCTATATATGTATATATATATATATATATATATATATATATATATATATATATATGTGTGTGTGTGTGTGTGTGTGTGTGTGAGTACATGCATGCGAATGTCAGTGTGTCACGCGTTTTCAGCTTTATTCCTAGAGGCCATTGCCCAACATATCATTTTCGAGTGAGGCCGACTCCGTGAGAAAATTAAAAACCGTCCGGTCCGGGTCCCCTGATTTCATCTACTGGAGCAGAACCAAACTTGGAGAGCTGAGTTAAAAGAAAATAACTGAGCCATCCGGAAAGGGGTATGGCACGTGGAACTAGAACAATCTATCCCGGTGGACGAAATAAAGGGTTCGGGTCGAAATTCCAATCACCTGAAGAAGGCCGGAGCCTACAGCGGCCGAAACGTTGTGAAGATGGCAATGAAGATAACAGTCCGAATAATGTAAATAATGTCAGTAAGGCTGTGCTTTTTCCACGTGGCAGAGAAGCATCCACTTTTCACTCCGTCTATCTCAAAACTCACTTTTTGACTCACTAGCGTGTCCCTCAATGGCTGTTAAAGGTCACATGACAGATCAAGATAATTAAAAAAAAAAAAAGAAAAAAGCTCCAAGTTTTCACCTGTGAATTGTCCTACGGTACATGCAGACTTGTGGATAAAAGCGCGTTTTTTTTTTTTTAATGTGTAAGTGATCGTACAAACGTTGGAACAATTAACTCATTGTAAGATGATTTTGATTTCCCCTTCCACTGCTTCATTTACTGAACTGTTAATCCTATATGAAGGATTTATATGTCGTAATCCGCGAGAGACCGAAAGAGATTATTTCGGAGATTACGTGCCTTGAAAATTGTCCACGTGCTTTCGGCCCGATAAATGGCATAGAGCTGCACATTGAATATTAAGTTCTCATGTGACGTCATTCTGGGACAGCCGAGGCGTAGAATGCCGTCTATTCTTTTAGTGCTTTTCTTTTTTTCTTTTTCCTTTACGTACTTTTTTTTTTTCCTTTACACTTTCTTCTTTTTCTTCTTCTTTTTCTTTCTTTTTCTGTGTATTTTTTTTTTTTACATTATTTTTTACGCTAAACGCTTCAAATACCAAGGTGTATGGATCAGTTCTAAAAAATTTAGCACAGGAGATTTTGAAATTGAACCTACAGTGAGCAACGTTTGCGATAGTTTTGTCCAACACCGTTAAAAAAAACGTAGGCGGGCATGGCTCTCCACAATTTCCTGTCCGTCGGAGCTCTTATTAAATCTTATATATATAATTTATATATATGTGTGCGCGCGCGCGCGCGTGTGTGTGTGTGTGTGTGCAAATATATAGAAAATAGGAAAGATCTCGTTAGGTAAATAATCCAAAGTTCTTTAGTATTTGTGTTATTATTTTTAAAAAATAGTGCTCGATACAAAAGTAGAGCATAAATATAATTATTTATTTAAAAATATGATTCCATCGCTACATAAGAGTTCTCATGTTTCAAAACAAGATCCGAAAACTATATATATATATATTTAATTTAAATTAAATTATTCGCTCTGACATTGAGATCACCGGATTTCATTCTCCTTGGGATTATCCATACGGATTACCAAGATTTTTTACTTAACTACATACATATATATATATATATATATATATATATATATATATATATATATATATATGTAAGGTATCATCCCATGCAAGGTAGCAAAGCCACTAAGACACAATGGGCGTGGACGAATTGGTAGCAGAAAAATTAATAATAAGCGGGAAGGCAAATGAATAATCAGGATGACAGTAGATAGCGATTGAAAATGCGTTTAATTTTTGGTCAATGGAAGTTGGCTGGAAAGCATGGAGCCAGAAGGGAGTTCCACAAGCGAAAAGTGCGAGAAAAAACAGCA